AAGGTGTAAATTTTGTTATAAATATATAAATTGAGACCTATATTTAATATTCCAGGCATGTCATAACAGAAAATATTCTCTGAGTAAAAGTATGTGAGGCTAAAGTTCTAAGATATTAAATTTAATAAATGTGTAGATTTGCATAATTTTCTGCTAAATATCCTTCCGCCACAAGAAATAGTCTCTTATAAATCTTGCTTCTTTGTGAATTTTTGAGCAGTTTTTTAATTGAATGTTGAACATTTTAGATTGTTTAATTGAAATATGTTATAAAGATTGAATTGTAATAAATAGTTTTTAAGTAAGAGGTTCTGACTGAACTTTTCTAAAAGGCTGACGAGTGACATACCATAAATGTAAAAGAAAAAAAAAACCTTTGATCTTAGTTAATACAAAAGATCAGCACATCATTCATTTGATTTCGCACTTTTAAATCAACATAATTTAACACTTAAAACATCGTTTTCATCCACAACATCAAACCGCTAAAGTTAAGGTTTTGCCAAAGGTCAAGATGTCCAAAAAATTATTTTTACAATAGCTCCAAAACTATGTGAGGTATAAAATTAAAACTTTTACAGTTTATAATATATCATTGATTATCAGATAGAAAGTATCACTTGAAAACAAATATTGAAAAAAAAAAAATCAGAAAAAAATTTCAAATAAATTGCATATTAAAAAAAAATGCACCTGCTTAATTCAGTACTTTTAGTGAAACTATATGTACCTATGTTTACGTCTTAGGTTTGACGCGGAGCGGGGTTTTTTTTCAGATAGAAGATCGGCTAATAATTTTAAATCCAACACCCATGACAGTTTGCTCCATAAACATTACACTACTGCATTTAATATTTCCTAAAAAATAAATGCAAATTGAAACATATCCAGATTTGATTTGAATTTGATTACTACATAATTATATATACATGATATATGTATTATTTGTTGAAAAGTAAAATCAATCCATTTTTGGTCGAAATTCGGCTAATAGTTAACGAGACAGTCATATAAACGTAAGAGTTTGCACCCTAAACATCACATTATATTGCTGCAGTTAATATATCCTCATATCTTCAATTCTAATGAATCAGAACCAGGTTTTAATTTGATTACCAGCTGGAAAAGAAATCCATTTCTACTTCCGCTATTACTATTTTTTACGATTACTTCTTTCTGTTGCTAGGTCCAATTATTATTCAAAATTACAACCGCACTTTGGGCATCATTGGGTTCATTAGATGCTTATTCTGTCAAACTGATATTCTCTCTATCGGAAGTAAAGATGTCTACCTATACAAACCCCGCTATAAAGTGATTGTGAAGTATCATATACTTAAATGTATATTGATCAAGACACACGTGTACATGTAACAGTTCACTCTTACGAGAAAGACCTTTTGTCATGTTGCATCTTGAAACACAATAGCTATTCAATAAAATGCTACATACCTCTAGTTTATCGAGACTGTCCATTCTGTAAACATTGAACTTGTAATTTTCTACATTTTTTAGGGATTGATTCTCAGAAAACCATGTCTTAAGTAGGAGAAGGGTCTCCAACTGTCCACTCTGTGAGAGAAAGAACTAGTCTCAGGCTTACGGCCCTCGACCAGTTCTTTCTCTCATGGAAAGTTTTCAGCCTTCTTCCTTTACATAATTATATTCTCCTAGATTCCTTTTTGTCTTTACACAAAATAACATGTATTACTTACTCCGGTCTTACACTGTGCGACTGAGAGCGAATCTAGATATTTTACTTCTGCCATTGTACATAAAATTGCATGCTTAAGTCATTAAGGTTAAGTTATACTTTGATGAATAATAAAAATGTCCTGAGTTGGTAGCTATATGAAATCCTTTCTTGTATAAATATCTATAAAAATACTTTTGTTGTAACTTGACTTTTCATTTTACCATAAACGTTCTGACTATGTGATATTTTGTTTTATAGATGCAGAAATCAAAGTAAAATCTACAAATTATGACAGTGCTTTTTATCCCAAAATGGATTCAAAACTATTGTAACTCCTTAAAGTTTCTTTGTTTAATGTTCCAGATCCAAATTGACACGTTTGCGACATTACAACATGTATGTTAATAACAATGTCCACATGGACTTGGAATAAAGCATTCTCCTAAATAAGTTGAGTTTAAACGATTTTTAAATACTTCCAAATTAATCATAATGATTCTACATTACCATTTTCAGTTCTGACTGTAATGTTTTACGGGCTAGCGCTTTTTTATCTGATTTTATCACATTTATTACGCCATATGAAATTAAACAACAACAATTTTTGTAAATTTTTATCCATTGTACACTTTTGGTAGACAGAAACTTGAACAGATGAGTATTTTTGGTACCATTTGTTAGGTCGTTGCTTTTATCCTATGTTTGACTACGAAGACTCCATATTTCTGATCAATACGTAGGTTTGGTTGAACATATTTTATTGCAATTCATATATACAGTGGGATTTGGCACAATTTCTAAACACTCTCCCTACATGTACAGATGTAATATCACAAAAAATGATGTAGATGTGTAGAACAGTTTGTACAGAATTAGTTAACTCACAACACAGAAATATATATATTGCTTGTTTTCATGTCTATACACATTCTATATATAATAACAATCAATTGAATCTGCCAGAATGCTGAATATAAGAATGAACAATAGAAAAGAGATATTCATTTTCAGCAATACTGAGAGAAGTATTCCCCAAGAGTAAAGTATGAGTGTCAACAATATGAACTTATCAAATCTCAAAAACCTCGAAAATATCTTTCCTGGCCTCAGTGTAATTAGGATCATAGGCGCTTTGGTCAAGGATAATGTATATTTTCTATATAATGTATTGTCGAGGAAATTATTCTCTTATTTTCAAATTATTATCGAGGAACTATATTCGTAACATCTTTTTTAAGCGTACAGTGGTTATTTTTAGTTTTTTTGTAAACCTTTCTGCTTGATATACACTGGATTGCCACAGAAATTTGATATTATGCACGTTTTAAGAATGACATATTCCAACTGTATACATGCACTAAAAAGAAATCCCACAGAAATCAGATTTCTGTTTTATCTTCAAACCAATTTGACATTAATTGGGAATCACTTCTTCCCCTTATGAAAAATAAATAAACTCATTTAGAACAATGTCCTAAAATCTTCTCAAGAACAGGAAAGACATGATTAGTCATATTAGTACAGAACATTCTCATGTAGTGTAGATTCAAGTTTGTTTAAATAATGATTAGGATATGAGAAAAAATACTGATGTGTGTCTTCTATTTTACCACAAGAGCAAAATGGACTAGATATAATGTTATATTATGAAGACCAACGTTTAACAAAATTGTGTCGAAGTCCATAGTAGTATGCGGTGTATTGTAGCGTCTTCTTCCAAAATTGAAATAAGGCGGAGCTACTGTTATTTTTGTGTAATTGTACATTGAAAAGCATGCAGTGAGCTGGAAAGTATGGTCTCTAACTGTAAAGAATTCCACTCATTAACTAGGTATAGTTAGTACAAATGATGATTTGTATGTTTGCTATCTACATACGGGTGTATTATAGTTTTGAAAATTCCTTGTTGTATAAGTGGAAGCGTTACATCGCATGTCAGGTATAATTTCATATAGATAACCAGGAAAAAGATTGTAATGAATTTTAAACATGGTATTCAATCTGTGGGTTTTGCGTCTATCACTAAGCTATTCCCATCCTGTTTAAAATTACAAAGAATCTCTAGATGCAATCAAAGTCAGGCAAGTAACAATACGAGCTGCGTCCTCTTCTTGGAGAGGACTTATATAGGCCATGCCTGATGTCCAATCCAATTATGTAAACTGACTTTACATAAAATACGAGCTGCGTGAAGTTGCAATTTCTCTAATTTTTCAGAATCGATAGCTAGATAACTAGATAAAACTGAAGCATATTCGAGTTCAGGGCGGATAAATGAGGTTTAAATGAGTGAAAAAGTATTCCGATTTATTTTGAATTTCATTTTTTTTTTTTTTTTGATAGACCCATTTTATGCAGCAGACTATCTTTAACTAGACTTTAACTAACTTTTTAACACACAATATATATTACTCTCAATGCATACATGTGTAACTTAAATAAGAATCCCAAACAGGGTTCAAGGCCTTGGAGAAGTCACAAAAATCGTACAACAGGCCATGGGTCCATAAAACTTAGACAAGCTCACTTTTGATCTCAGTATCACTTTTCCACTATTAATTTCTTTGGTAAAAGTGAGACTGAGATCAAAAGTAAGCTTGTCTAAGTTTTATGGCCCCGGAGCCAGGTTTTACCTTCATCAATATTTCTAACATTGTTATCGTATGTTTCTATCAATTGAAAAACCGTAGAGAGACCAGGTCGGAAACCAGCTAAGTATTTGTAAAAAAAATATTCTTACAATGAAAGTAGTTGTACAATTGTTTGAATACAAGTGTTTCGGGCTAATTATTATTTGACACTGCAAAATCAGCTGCTTGAAAGCCAACAACCTCAGATTTTCTTTCTCTGTAAATGAAAAAGAAAATAAATTATATGATTAAAAATAACAATAAAGAACATTTGATTGAAAGTTGAGAAAATTATAGCACAGGAAATACAATGTAACTTGCGAATTATATGAATCAATTAGAAAATGTTATCTCAATTGAAAAAAAAAAGTGCAGATATTTAGGTGCAACATTCGTAATAAATTATCTATAGCCTTAATGTTTTTCTAACAAATAAAAACATTGCCTCACTTGTTTTATATTTCAGAAGCATAGTTTAATGTATAACTGTAACATTTAATTTCTATAGTGTAAATATATGGTATACATATATTTAGGACACAAACGTGTCTTATCAATGTAATTTATAATTCGTCTCTAATCAGCCGTAGTCTTCCTAAGACACAAAAGTACTCTTTATCTTCAAACTCCAAGCCAGTATTCTTCCAGGCTGTCTGGTTAATAATATTCTAACCATGTTGACTTTGTTTATTATCGTTTCTGTTTTTGTTCTTTCTCATCAGCAATGTTGTTTTCCCTCCCAGTGGGAGGGGATACAGTCTGGTTCAATGGCCACCGTCTCTCCAGGGCCTAATCCAGTGCCTGTTTTTACTTCGGTAAGAATCTAAACTACTTTTGCATACTATGTTACATAATTGTAAATGTTTTGTGTATCATAAAGGAGAATAATTCATGTTAATTTATTATATTGCATATTTTATTATCTGAACGATTTCTCTTTAACTGGCCAATTATTACATGCTACATAGTCTTACTTTTTGATCTCTAAATATGAAAAAATTATCTTCAAAAAGCATCGGATCTGACAAGAAAAAATATTTTAATATGGTTATCATGTTCATTAACTTAATTGGACGTTCAAAAACATTGAAAATAGCATTTTTTGCTGCGTATCTTCAGAGATAATTTTCGCCAGGCTTGGGGTAATGCTCAATGTAATGGTAATGCATTGCAATGCATTACTTGAAGTCGATGTGATGTAATGGTAATGTTATGCATTACTTTCTCAAATGCAGAGTAATGCTGGCATTACATAGCATTACAAAGCATTATTTTGTATATACATATTTTAAGAATTGGAATTATTGTTTAGTTTACTTTTTTAAATATCAGAAATGAATAAAATAAGTTGACCTTTTTAAATAAACTCTCTGTATCTATTTAAATACATTTTTTATTCTGTTAAAAGTACAATTACCACACATTTAAATTTTCATATTAATTTAAGATCAGATTTAATTTCAAAGATATTTTTAAGAGTTTATTAAAAAATATATCCTTAAAAATAATTCTGGTATGTCAGCACTCTAATTAATGTACACTGTAAACTTATAATTGCCACCTTTTGAATAGAGTGTCATCAAAACACACACCGAATCTAAGGTTATGTAATAATTAGAACAATGTGTTGTTTGGAGAAGTACTTCAAAACCCAGACCCTTTCTTCTGACCGTGTTTATGAAACATTACTTGTGCTGGTCTAGCTTTAGCTGACCATGACAAATCCATTGCACCAAAAGGAACAATAGACAGGCATTTTACTTTTAGAAGAGAAAATGTAAATACTGTCCATCCCTTTTTACAAGTTTGTCAATGCATTTAATTTTGTCAAATTTTAAGGTACTAGATCCAAATAATCTTAATATGTCTTATTAAAGATATACACACTGTATCAAGGCTGATTTGTTATGTGAAACAAAATGACTAAATGATTTGAAAAACATGATGTGTAATGAAAAAATAATAATTTCCACAAAGTTTTACTAAATAAGTCGTTGTAATTACAAAACAATTAAGCAAGTTCTACAATTAAGAATTCAGTCTTTTCATGAATATTGATGAAGGAAGTGCGTAAACAGTATATAGACACGCGTGTCCGCGGGAAATCATAAACAACAATGTATATTGCATTTTGACTACGATTATGAATAAAAGGTTAATACATGTATCTGTTATTACAGAGTAGATGGCTAATACTGGTTGCTTAAAAAGATAAGCATCTTACATTAGACGTTTGTGTTAGAGGTTTGCCATCCATATCAAAAGTTATTTGTATACTCAGCGGCCTACCTCGTTTTCTTGACACCATTTTTGTTCATCAATCTGGAAGTAGCGACATTGTCATGTGATGTATTGCTTTAAAAAGAAGCATTACTTTCCTGGCAGGAAAATAAATAATTATAATTTGACTTCTTTATAACGCCTTCATTTTCAATTGGCTAATTTACGGTATTTTCGTAACTTTAATTGGTAAACAAAATAAACAATTTTTCAACTTTATCTTTAACTGATGCAAGTTATAGCGTGTATATCTTTAATTTGGGGGGGGGGGGGTAAATTGACCCAAAAGTCAAATTGCTTTATAGTTACACAAAATAGTGCATATTGTACATGCATGTTTTTATCTTATTGGTAATTAAAGCTTGAACTTCGTACGAATAATAAAAAAAAAGATTTGAAAATTATTGACAGTGTAATAAATACAAGTACTTAAAATCAAATTTTAATTATCATTTATCATGTTTAGTTTTGAAAGGATGGGAATCATTTTTACAAAAATAGTTGCAAAGTTTTGAATTTTTATTTTTGAAAACCTCCAAAAATAATGGTAAAGCATTACATTGCTAAAGTAATGGTAATGTAATGGTAATGTAATGCATTACTTTAAGAAATTAAAGTAATGGTAATGGTAATATAATGCCCAAATTCTTGAAGTAATGGTACTGTAATGCATTACTTTACGATGTAATGTGCCCCAAGCCTGATTTTAGTACACGAATAACATTTTCAATTAAGGTATATGTTCTTCCCCCTCTGCAACATATATTCTAATGTGTTATTTCTATTTGTAGTTTTCTTATCTTCTATCAGTGGACTACTCCAAGCACCTGCTGTATCTTTCCGGAAATGTTACGACTGGCGGTCATACTACTCAGATCAAAGTCATCAGGGACTATAGCGCGGTATGGTCGCACTTTAATATCTCGATAAAAATACGGATAGCAATGATTTATTTTTTTTTAAAAAAAATTAAATTTACATTTATAACAAAATGCAACCTATTGCACAGAAATGATGCTTTAAAGACATCTCTAGCATTAAGCATGATTGGCTTCTTTGTATAAACAATATGAAGTATTCTCATTCTGAATTTAGAACAGACTTTGATTATTGATATTCAGCTCCATACTAACACGATTCTATTGTATAATTTCATTTATTAAACAATATTTAGATTTTGAAAGCTTCAATCAAATGTTCTTTGTCAAAGGTACCATACAACTGCAAATTTCTGTTGAGTATATGCAAATACAATTTTTTGTAGACAGAAATATTTTGCAATATTTCTGGAAATTTTGTGATTTTACATGTATATTAACTACTTTTTTCGTAAAGATTTCCATAAAAAGTACCTGATATATGCTAAAAACAACTGTGTTTGTACCAATTTTTAAATTTATTTTTCGTCAAATAAATGTGCTGCTCGTCAGAAATTTAAAAAGGAAAATTCAAAGAAAAACTTTAACATCCTCAAAAAAAGTTTTATTTTATGAAGACAAGAAATTGCTCCTCTCTTCTTTACCCTGTTCGAAAACAGTGTAGAAGATAGGAGGAAATAAAGATATGTGAAATATTTTCTAATTAATTCGACATTGACTTGAACTTTAAGAATCAATGTTTCAAAATTCTACTTTTATAACATGTGTAATTCTTTTGTAGAAAATTCAATATGTCATTGATTTGGGAACCAATACTTGTAAGAAAACTGTTATGACTGACAAGGAAGTATCTTGTTTAGGTAATCAATAAACGAATAAAATTTAATTAAAACAATGTCGACGGAATGTAAAATGTAAAGTAGAAAAATACCAGCAAGATAATAGCATTTAAAAAAGAAATTAATGGGAATAATTTGAGCGCATTCAAATTAAAATGCTACAGTATCAAGCAATCATGCAAGATGGAATAGTTTTGAACATAACACATTTAAGTAAGATTGTCATTTAAGGAACCAACGGCGACAATGCCACGGTTGTCGCTAAGACGTACTTCGGGGCAGGAGGCCAGCAGCTTCCTTTTACCGTCTACAAATCCGTGTTTAACGGCTACCCATCTACCGTATCTGTGGCGGAGGGATGTATTCCAGTAGGAACCACATATCACGGAAATAACGAATACGGTGGTGAGTAAAAAAGTAAAACTCCACTTGTATTACTCTTCCGGAATTAGGATTTGAAAACAACATTTCGGATAATTTTCTATATCAGATTTAGATTTCCCGAGTTTAAACAATTCATTTCATTTCAACATCAATTTACATGATTTTAATTTTGCAATTAATTTAGATTTCATTAAAAAAAATAATACTTACCTTTTTAAACGAGTCAAGTTCGAAAATTGATTCAATGGATACGAATTAAATTTCATTATATTTTAAAATTTGCCCATTCATTGATCAAAATTCTGTTCTTTCATTTAGATTCTGTCATTGGATCCATCGGATATCATAGCATCACACCCGGTATCTCTGATCTCTCTGTATTTGCCGTCCCGGCGAATTGTGTATCGGCTCCATTAGCGGTTAGTACAGGTTCTTTACCCTACCGTATAGGTTAACAAATCAATGAGTTAAACTGGTATGGTCAATGGGGGTATGTTACTGCATAAAACTATATCAAATTTTGTTTCTTACAGATTCGTTTCGATAACTGTATAACTATCTGAACAAGATGTATTCGAAAAACACTAATACCCCCGTATGGCAACTCATGACCAGATTAATGTTTTTCAAATAAAAGGCCAACTCTAAGGTCATGAGGTCAAAAAGGTGCTGCACGAAGTTCTCGTCAAAAGGAACATACATGTAAAATATGAAAGAAAAAAAAAATCAACCATGTAGGCCTTTTGGACAAGGTTAAAGTTTTTCAAAAGTAGGTAGAACTCCAAGCAGGACTGTTAAGGCGTACTACGAAGAAATCAGCGGAATATAAACGTGCATAAATACATACCTTTTTAAACTGAATTTATTTTTGCAAAGGTAGTATTTTATTACATGACTTTAATTTTAATTGAAATAACATAGCATACCCCGCTCTGTACGGAATTTGGTTTGGTCACGTTATTTGACAGTCACGTGATAAAAGCATGTAATGTGTACTGTATGTAGGTCATCAACAAATTTCAATATCGCAAGGGCATACCCTAGTTAGAATTAAAAATTTCAGTAATAAATTGAATCTATATGACTTGTAGTTTATGAAAAGTGCTGCTGCTTTAAATAGAATTCGCATTTTATTAGTTTAAATTTCAAGTTATTTGGCTCTAGTCGAAATATGTGTGACCTTTACCATGTATTTTATTTATTTATTTAGTAATGCTCTCGATTTCAGGAAAGCAGCAGCACTTTTCAAGTTAAGGAATGTTTCCGTTATGCATATTTAAAAAATGGTCAAAATCTATTAAGTGTATGCCCTTGCGAAAACGCGATTTAATGAGGCACCTCGGCGTGAAACATGCACACCCAGTACACAAAAATACGGTAGAATTAATTCAATACATTCTCTCGATAGTTTTTAAATAATGGCACTAAACAAAGGTTTCAGATTTGTATTAATGGTCTACCTAAGATTTGCAAATAATATTGTGTTTATTAATAAAATGCATTTTTCACTGTGGTTAAATGACTTGATCCGCCTCTCACTGCACATAAAATGCGTCAAATTTTACCATGATGACGTCATGTCGACAAGTGCATTGCGATCAGTGACTTGTTTATATCTTGCTGTGTGGGATTTAACTAACGACAAAAATGAATGCAGTGGTAAGTTTTGATATAGTTCATCACTCTTATGCAGTTTAAAAGCGCAAATTATTTCGTTTTCTGCTGTTGTGAGGAATTGCTATATTTGTGTGATGTCACAGTAGACATTTCCCGTATAAATTAGGCCCCGCCCCCTTTATGCAGCCTTAACAGGGCTGCGAATTCAAGAGGTCAGTAATGTTGGTTTTCAATGAATTTTTTATCACAAGGAATACACAAGTGAAATATGAATGTCCTAGTGCAAACCATTCAGAAATCATGGGCAAGGTCAAAGCTTTATAATATAAAGTCAACTTCAAGTCAAGATCATGAGGTCATAAATGGTGGTACTCAAAGAAAGGTACGGTCTTGTCACAAGACATATACATGAGAAATATGAAATCTCTAGCACCAACTACACTTGTATTCAATTTAATTTCCAAGGTTGAAGTTTCTGCTGACAAACAGACTACTAGATGGACAAACCAAACACTATATGCCTCGGATCTCCGATTAAGTGGGGGCATAAAAAATTCGCTTAACATATATTACGTGTACCTCAGTATTAGGTGTAGTCCTAATGTTTGTGTTTTCTTGCCTTAACTAAACTTCGAAAGTTTGTTAATTTCTTTTCCTTGTTTTCTGTCTCCTTCTTCTTATTTTTTAGAAAAAAAAATGTTTGTTTTTATGTTTTATTTTATTTTTTGTTTCTGCTTGATTTTGACATACATACAGGAACCATATTTTTATCTTAATTCAAATTTCTAAAAATATGCATAATGTAGAACCAATTCTTTAGGATATATAAAAATAGTATTTTTTATTTACAGGGTTCGGTGGTTGGATGAAGAAAAATGTGGATTTTTTAGTCCACTAGATTAATTTAATTAATTTGTACGAAAGATAGAATTTTTAGATTTTTAAATAAAATATACATATCATATTTATGAACTTCTATACTTCTTTTAAAGAATTATTAATTCCTTTAAATTGTCTACCTTATTACTATTATAAAATGAAAAATGAAAATATCAATATACATGTTATGTTTAGTTTATCCATAACATTAAAATTACCAATAACATAAAATCTTATGTGCAAATTTCACTTTTTGTTTCTTTATGTCCCAACAACAAAAACTTTTGGTGCTCTTTACTCGCTACCCCTACTAACTTGAATTTGGTCTTTATCAAACATCGATCTTTCGGTCTTGTCCATTTGGAAACAAATTTTAAAATACTGACAAGTTCAAGGGGTTGGAAGTCTCTACATCATTTTACTCTAAAAGAAGCAAACATGCCTTCCATTCCTTTTGGTTCAAGGGATTTGTCATTGTCAACTCTAGCTAGACCAGTTCAATTGATGGTTCATAAACACAACCAGGACCAAAATAAGTTCTTAATCATCTGACATGATTTTATTTGCATTTTTTTTTCATAAAAAATTAAAACATTTGTTTCTTCGCAAATTCATGAGACAATTTAGAGCTTGGAGTATTATGATACTCATTACTCCTTCCTTATGCCACTGCCAACTGCCCACTGCCACCCCTCAGGTAAGGTCAGCAATTTGTCAGGTTGAGGGTTCTTACATGTTGAACTTATAAGGGGTAATCAATTATTTTAAATAAATGAAGGGAGAAATGATATCTAGAACCCTTATGGGTTTATTGTATGTGTGTGGCATTCTCTCTCGCCAATACTTTCATTACAGATGAAGGAAAGTGAAAATTAAATTTCTTTTTTTTTTTATTCATTTTACTGACGTTATTCTCGTGCCCTTAGCCTTAATGGCTTATTTGCTTCTAGGAAAATTCTTGAGTTTCTTGTTTTGTTTCCATAAGTTGTCTTTCTGGCCTTCTTTTCCCGTATAATTATTTCTGGATTCGCCCATTTTTTATTGTAATTTTCTGTTGCTTTCATTTAGATGTATTTAAACAATAAAATGCTTTCTCTGGTTGTTAGTACGGGAATTAATGTCGCAGCTGTTGCAGAAAAAATACATAACCCGCGTAAGCGGGTTATGTAAATTTTTTCTGCAATAGCTGCAACGTTAATTCCCGTATACTAACAACCAAAGAAAGACATTTTATTGTTTATATTTATATCTGAATAAATAATCATTAAAAGTAGGATTAAAAAGATTAATTATTGTATTATTGATGTATATGTCATAGTATGTTTCATTGATGGAACAGCCACTGATCAAGAAATCTGTACAAGTGATATGCCTAGTGTTGTTCATGAACTGATAAACGGCAATGGTTAACTTTAGAGATAAAGGAGAAAATATTCAGTGGATGTAATTATAGGGTTTATTCAAGCCTGCGTATTAAAGATAACGCAATAAGAGATATTTAATCATTGAATCATTATTTTTTGAAAGGTGTAGTCTCATAACTACAACGGTGTGTGCAAACAAAATTGAGTTAGCGTGTTACTCAATATGTTTGCACACACCGTTGTGTTCTTCGTGTTAGTTACAATTAATAGAAGAGCCATTGCAAACAGCTTCTGTTCAATGTGAGCGTGAATTTTGATTTTCGCCAATGACGTTACACTTGCAAGGCGTTCAACGTTTGTGACGTCAAAATAAAATGCATATTTTATCCTTCTGACCTCCCCGTCCGTGCTATGGTGTTTTGAATGCCGTAGCTTTCCACACACTTTATAAGCAAAATACATGTGGAATGTAAATACATGTGTTATCTTTAAGCAGTGGCTGTGTATGGCACGCCGATTGCTTCAAAATTATTTTCTGCACGACCTTAAACAAAAATTACACGAGTAAGTAAAAACTTACACAAAGTGAGGAAAATATACACGAAGTTATTAGAATTTACACAAACTATAGAAAAACTGCACAAACAACAAAATATTTACACGATATAGTGAGGAAATTACACAAACGTAAAAACGAAAACTGCACGAGTGAGAATACAACATCGACATAATATGCAAATCATCCTCATTGCGCACATTTCATTAATATTCATTAGAGAACAGCTCAATGTGGCTTGGATGCTTGAAACATATTATAAATACAAAAGGAGGAGTAACGAGTATTCTTTTTAAAAAAAAGATTCTTTTAAAATTCCGCTAGACTCTCAAGAATATGTACAACGTATATTATACATGTAGATAAATTGACAGGCACGCAATCTTAAACTTGTAGTATATGAACACCCCCGAATAAAAAAACATTCTACACAGAATACATGTATAGATAACGTAAAAAAGGGGGATGCATATTACCAGTTGTGTGTTTAATTGTTGGATTTTTTAAGTATGTCATTCCTCTATACAGCAATTTCTTTTGAAAGTTTAAAACAATGACATATAGGCCTAAATAAAAATAAATAAAAAAAACATGTGATATAATACAGGAGAGTTAACAACAAATCACACTATTCTCCTCCACCTTCCACTGTGTGTACTTTTGGTATTAATCAAGGATGTGCATGCGTGACCTTTTCATACAGAGATCTCTCCCTGCTGCATGGTTCTGGAACGAAAAACACCTGTACGCTAATCGATTTATAGCTCTTTGACACACCAATAATACCTTTTGATTAAAGATTACTAGCAATTCATACAAAGATTTTGAAGCAATGTTGCGATCATCTGGGTTGTGGAATTTGACCGAAAACATTTTGGAAGTCAACAGTAAAGAAAATCGAGTAAATAATTGTGCAACTTAAATTTTAATATTGAAACGCACATCTCACATTTTGATATATGTATGTAACAAAGTAGTACATGTAGTCTTAACTTTTGAGCAACGTGTGGTGATTTCATAAAACTCCATGAAAATGTTTGGAAAAAAGTGGGGGTCCCTCCTGATGCTTCGTGCCTGAAATATTTCTTAAGAATTTAAGGGTACATATAATAGTCTATCGAAATCTGGATTGCAATTCAACTGAACTATAACGGTATTGTAAGATCAAATTCAAGAAGACATATAAGATGAACTTTATTAGCTGGGACTTGGCTACACATGCATATTTATTTTCAATGCAGATTTTGACAATAATAAATTTGCACACGGTAATAAAACAAAGATTTCTTGAGGTTTCTATTCATCATATGTTTTTTATATTTATTCGTAGTCATGCTCAAAGTAAAACACCTGGTTGATGTCGTTGATACACATGTACAATATTGCTATAAAGTCATGTTCCTTTTATAATGACTATAGATTTGGATAAAAAAGTGTTATTACAAAAAATTAGTGTTCGGAAAATAATTACGAATTCGAAATGTAAAGAGAATTTGTTATCTTGGAAAATATTTGTCAAACCTCGAGATCCATAAAGAACATGATTTATTTGCATTTTTCAAGAGTGATAAAACATGTGCTATGTTCTTTCTTTTTATTATAATATCCATTCCCATTTTCTTATTTGTAACATTCTACGTAATTCACTATGTTTTAAAATTTCTGATGTGTCATTATGGTCCAACGATTTGAAACTTTAATAAACACATAGATTCAGATGTTGGGACTCAATCAATCCACGAACCAGATCCGCCACTAATGATATGTTTTACCGGTGCCAGGAATATTTGAGTAGAGTTTTGTTATTTCATTTGGACAAATTTTAAGTAACAAAACACAAAACCGCATGTACATAAAGCACATAGAATATATATATTTTCCCTTTATCTGGTCCTTTTTATTAAAAGTGAAAACATTTATCAAGTAATCGCCATTACGAATGAGGGTAACGCTTACCCTTAGGAATGTCTTGTTTTTTTATTGAGTAGTTTATGACTGAAAATATGCGATATCATTTAAGGAATTCATAACAGTGTAGGCTACAGATATCCAACCAAAATTGATATCCTCATATTTTATAAGTAAAGATGAGATACATGTATAATTAGAAATAAAATATTTTTTATGTTTGACTTTAAAAACATACTGTGTATATCTAAGGTCAGTTAATCCCCACTTTTTAATCTTTTTGAAAATAAAAAATATATTCAGCCAACTGAATAATTTCCTATTCCTAAATGAAAAAAAAATGCCCAAATGAATTCATAATTAGTACAAATGAGAAGTACCAAAATAAATTCTACAATTTAATGATTATAATCAGCAATAATTCTATCATCATTTTCATGAAGAATCCACTTTATTTATCGTTTTATTACGCATGTGTTAATTTTATTTCATACAAGTACTTTCTGTTAAAGTTGTATCTATAAGTTAGGGAATATTAAAAGGCCATAGAGCGTATTACTTTTAGTTCGGAGTCGAGTGAATCATATGGAATGGTACTTTTTTCCCCCGCATTATAACACAGACATGCGATTCCTTTCTAGTCACAATTTATGTCCGGCATCATATAATACCTCCATATTTTGGCTAGGATCTCGGTCAATATAAGAAAAATATAATATCTCCGAACAACTTTTAAATTTTTTCACAAAGTTCACAAGAAAACATTTCATTCGTTAGATTGGCATTAGCTAGAAATCGGATCGAGTTTTAGCAAAGAAATAAACAAGCAAACAAACATGCATATCATCGTCAACGCCATTTTCTCTCGATTACATCCAGCATTCATGAAGAGATAAAGAGTACAGAAAACCAAGAACACAATGAATATTCTATGTGCATAATAATGATATGCGCAGTTGTATGCGCAGTAAAATTGTTTGTGTAATTTTTAGTTTCCTCTGCTCGTGCAGTTTTTGATTTTACGTTTGTGCATTTTATACCCCTTAATCGTGTAAAAAATTTTCTGATTCGTGTATTTTTCGTTATGTTTGTGTTAAAATCTTCCAAACTATGTGCAATTTTTACCGATACGTGCATTTTTATTTTACTCGTGTATATTTTACTCGTGTATATTTTTCCATCAAGCTCGTGTATAAAATCGTGATCGTTGTGCAGAA